TGAAGTCGGATGCTTAACCGACTGAGCCACCCAGGTGCCCCCAAGCTTCTTAAGCTTTAAAAAAAAGGTGGGTACAGCACAGTGGGTGTGGCGTGCTCCCTCCCGTGTGAAACAAGATGCGTATACAGGACAGGTATAAGCTGGCACACACATGGGACATTTAGAGGGACTCCTAAGGACCTCGTGACAGCGGTCACTTTGGGGGGGGCGGGGTGGATGGGGGAAGGGAGACTTAGTTTTTGCTGTGCAGCCTTTATACTGCTTGGGTTTCGAGAGGCACTAGAGTGTGGTGGCTACTTAATGAGTGTGGACCGGGTCGGCGGGGGGGGGGGGGGGGTGCGGTCTATGGCCTGGGTTCAAACCCCGGCTCCGGCGCTTAGTACATGTGTGATGCTGGGCAACTTTCTTAACCACTCTGGGCTTCGTTTTCTCATAGTTTGGGTTAACAGATGTTAATATTTGTAAAGTGCTTAGAATAGCATCTGAGACGTAGCAGGCACCATGGGAATGTTTGCTGTTATCAATTAATTGCTATTTACATGTGTCCTATATTTATTTAGGAAGTCAGTTAATGAAAATAAAGGCTTTAGGACTGGAGAGGAAAAAAACAGGCACACAGCCAGTTTGTGGCAGGGGCTGATTGGGTTGGAGGGCTGGTGCTTTCCCTCCAGGACTGATTCTGTCCTCTACAGAAAGGTCTAGAAGGACAGCCCTTAGCTCAGAATCGGGGGAGTGCCGGTGGGGAGTGGGGAGAGCTCTTTCTCTCACCGCAGGACTTCTGCAAGGTTGGCTGCAGGGCCCGGGAAGCCCAGCAGAGCCCCCACTTTGAGGTTGCGCTCCCGGCTCCAAGCATTTGGGATTCTACCCCTGTCTCTGGCCATCTGCCTCTCTGCAGCCTTTTACTTCCCTTACGCCCATGTGCCAAGGCCAGTGGCCCCTCGCCAGCTGGCCAACCCTGTGGGGCAGGACGGGGAGAGACAAAGAAAGAGTGAACGGCCTTCAGTGGGGCTGCAGGCGGGGCTGGTGCGAGGGGCCGGCCTCCAGGGAGCTGTGGTCAGTGGGCAGCGGGAGGAGGAAGTGTCCAGTCACATCCATGACCGTGCAGGCATGATCCAGCTTCTGGAACACAGGGGCCTGAGTGTGATCCTGGCCTCTGGGGCTGGAGTTTGCCTGCAAGCCAGAAGGAATGAGAGGGGTTGTCTAGCCGGACCCACTGGGCTGCCCCGGGTCTCTGGTCTGGGGTGGCCAGGGTTTTCTGGGAAGATGGGGTTACGGCTCTGCAGCTGCTGGTGTTCTGGGTTAATGATTTATGGTGGGTGGGGGCTGGGCCCTTTCTGGGGCTGTCCTGTGCTCCCGGAGCCGCTGGGGAAGGAGCCGGAGAGCTGGCGGGCTGGAGCACCTGGCCGTGAGCCAGTGACCCCTTTCTGTTGACGAAACTTTGCCCTTAAACGCCAGCTAATTAGATTTCTGGCCTTTTTTTTCCCCCACAGGCGAGCGGCTGGGACGGTGCTGGTTTGAGCTGGACCCTGTCTGATGGCTTCCTCCAACCCTCCTCCACAGGCTGCCATAGGTAAGTTACCCCAGGCTTTCCGCCCGACCCCCCTCTGAACGGGCCCCGGGGCTGGCCGAGGGCCACCGGCCCTGGGCGGAAGCCTGCCCTGCTGGTGGTTGGCTGTGAGCTCTTGGGCAAGTGACTTCACCCCTGTGCCTCAGTTTCCTCGCCTGCAACAGGGAAATCATAATTTCCTTGTCACACAGAGTAGGCTCCAGACGAGGCTTGAGTCTTTACCTAAGATGCCCCGGAGACTTTAAACTTTGAAGGCCACAACCCTTAGACGTGACCGCAGCCGTGTCGTGTGCTTGGGGGGGCGGAGGGGAGTGAGGCTTATGAGTTGAGGGCAGCGACCCCAGGTTGGAGGGGAAGGCATTGGGGCCGCCCGCCTCCATCTGCCAAGGTCTCGAGGTCAGGTCGTCTAGCAGCGGCAGGGTCACCAGAGTTATCGAAAAGAAGAAGAAGAAAAATCCATGCTTATGCTAACAAATTATTTGTTGTTAATCTGAGATTCAGTTTGATGTCCTGTGGTTTATCTGGCAAAGCCTGGCAGTGGGGCCTCGGACACCGTAGGCAGAATCCAGAATCCTGGAGGAGCTGGACACCCTTCTCCCACTGGGCCCAGATTCCTGTCTGTTTATCCTCCTTTGGGGGACGCAGATAGCAGAGAGGTCCCGCCTGAGGGCTTTTTTTCACCAGCCCAGCCCTGCCACTGACACCGTGGGCTTGGCTGAACGACTTGGTGATTCCGTGGCTGTTTCATCAGCCGGAAACATGGGGTTGGTAATGACACCCTCTCCTGTGCTGTTGCAAGGTTTAAATATATGTAAAGCCCGGGTGTGTGGTGATCAATCGCTCAATGAATAGAAGCTATTATCACCATGGGGTGTTGCGGGACAAGGCCAAGTGTGCCGGGCTCTGAACCCCGGGCCGAGACCAAGGAGAGGTCCCTTCCTCCCTGAGCCCTCGTCTTCTTCTCCGAAGGGTGGGGACCAGCACAGTGAACCCACCTTCACGGTGCAGGGTGGCTGCTCAGGCGTCCTGCCTCCCCCGGCCTTGCCGGGGTTGGCTCTCCCCAGGACGGGAGTGCGTCCAGGAACATCAAAGGCATATGTGGCCGGTTCTGGTCCTGCCACCTGTCGGGACGGGTGGGAAGGGCTCAGTTCAGCTCTCATTATCCAGGGAGGGGCCTTCTGATTTTTCCTTCTGATAAGGAGCCACGTCTGGTTGCCTTGGGTCTCAGGAGCATGGGGACAGGGCTGTGGGGACCAGGGCATCTTCTGATGCCCGACTGTGGCTTTGATCCCAGGATGCCCCCTGCCCTGCCTCCTGCTGCCGTGGGCATTTTGCACCCTTTCTCCTGTCCGGCAACAATGAAGAACACAACGATTTTGCGATTAAACCGATTCGGTCCCATTCAGCAAACATTTGACAGGCATTTCCTTGTTCTGGCTGCATCTGAAACTCGGGCCAGTGCCACCTGGTGGAGACAGGCTCTTTGCCACTTGCGGATTCTCTGAGAACTTGCTGTTGTCTTACTAAATGAAACTCAAATCCCCCGAAACACCTCTGCAGTGTCCCGTCGCTGCCCTCCTCCTCGCTCGCGTCTGCACCCCCACTGGCTCATGGGCCGTTCGTTCCCCACTCCGGCCGTGGCCGCAGCCTCTGGAGCACCAGCTCGATACGAGCCTGTCGGACCTTCACTCGTCCTGCAAGGCCCTGTGAAGGGGCAGCCCCGGCCAGCCTGAGCCCCCCTCTGCTGTCGCTGGGCACTGGCTCAGTCCCTTGTGTGCTATGGCCATCTCTTGCCATATTTGCCGCCCGCCTCACCTGCAGTGAGCTCCTTGACGTGAGGGGTCCCGTCTTACTGGCCCAGGGGCTGCTGGGAACAGTCCTCGGGATGCAGGCGTGACTGTATTGACGGATGTCCCTGCACACAGCCTGTGGGCCGGTGGCTCAGTGGGCCAGGCCTGTGATTGGGAAGGCCTGCCCATCTCCCCGAGGGCCTGGGGCTGGGCTCTGACTGAATAATAATAATAACAACAACAATGAAGATAATGGTAAGGATGCAATGACACAGGACAATGAGTGGGACCATTATTATCAGAATAGCTAATGTCAGTGAGCACGTACCTCACACCGGGTGCTTTATATGCATCAGTTCATTCCGCCCTCCCGTCCTCACCCCGCCCCCTCTGCTCGCCTGTGAGGTACTCACTGTCACTGTCCTCCTTATGGGTCAGGAAGCCGCTGCCTGTAGGGATAAAATGACCTGATGCTCAGGCAGCATCTAGGAGAGCTGGGGTTGGAGCCCAGTGGTCTGGCTGTGACACCCTAGTTACCCTGTGACACTGGTCATGCACACAGTATCCCTGCCGCCTCTCAGGCAGATTCAAGTGGGCAGGGGCCAAGGGCACCGAGAGAGAGAGAGAGAGAGAGAGAGAGAGAGAGAGAGAGAGAGTGTGTGTGTGTGTAAGCCAGGGAGGGGCGGAGAGAGAGGGAGACACAGAATCCGAAACAGGCTCCAGGCTCCGAGCTGTCCGCACAGAGCCCGACGCGGGGCTCGAACCCACGAACCGCGAGATCATGACCTGAACCGAAGTCGGACGCTCAACCGACGGAGCCACCCAGGCGCCCTGTGGTGTTTTTAAACTTTTAATACCACGACCCATAGACATGGCAACAGGAGTGTGTGTGTGTGCACGTATGTGTGTGCGTGTGTGTTCAACAGATGCTTGTTGTGCACCTACTGTGTGCTGGCACTGTACCAGATGCTGGGGATATATGTGACAGTGGACAAAACAGACCAGAATTCCTCATGAGCTCACGTACGTTCTAGTGAGGACCCAGTAAAATAAAAGCGTCAAACCTCGTTGCTGACGAGGGCCGTAGGGCAAAGTAAAGCAGGCGAGTGAAATGAGGAGTCCCAGGGTGTCTCTGTGGGCAGTTTCGCTCACAGCAGCCTCACCTGCAGGTGACCTGTAGTAAACACCTGAAGGAGGTGAGAGCAGGAGAAGATGCCTGGGGAAGAACATTCCGGACCCCAGGACTGAAAGTGCAAAGGTCCTGAGGCAGGAGCACATCTGGCACGTTCACGGTATAGCAAGACCAGTGTGGCTGTGTGGG